AAGAAATGCTTGTTAGTTTAATGTATGATCAAAGAAATGTTTGCTCATTTGACAAATGAGCAACTAACTATTTGCTCAGTTGACAAATAATTGAAATCTCATTTGACATATAATTGATTTTGTTAAGAAATATAAAATCAACAAAATTTCAACAAAATTAAAAACACAAAGTTTCTATATGTTTGATAAATAATGAGGGGATGTGCTAAAAATATTAAATCTTATATTTATATAAAAGTATCATTACACTTTTTTTGGAAAATTTCTAATATCATGATGGCTCAATTCACCACAACCTCTACAATCTCTTCTTTTTCTGGTTTTGTTCTACAACCTTTTCTTTTTCTCCCTTCAGCCTTTTTGCACTTCTACCTCTTGTTTCAAAATTTGACACATGAATCTCAGCCCCTTTCTTTTTTGAAGTCTCTTCACTTGATACATGAACTGCAGTCCCTTTATTCTTTGAAATTTTTGGAGGTTTAACAATTATTTCAGTTGGCACACTAGCTCCAATCAATAGCTCAATGTCTTGTTCTTTGTTATTTGCACTTCCAGCTGTTGTTTCATTATTTCTTGCAATCCTCTTAGCCTCCAAATCCTTTCTTATTATCTTCATCTTTGCCTTCTTCCAAACTTACACAAGTGTGTATCTCTGACCATAAATCATTTAACAATTTTTTCTTGTCAATTATATTAGCACAATGCTCCAATAGGTTTCCTCGCAAGTCAAAAATTGGTTTCTTCAGTGCCATAGTAGTCCATCTGTGTCGCATATACTGCTCAGAATGGTTCAAACCTTTTTGCTTTCCAAACCTAAATCATATGTCTACATGGAATTCCTTATTTATAAAATAGCTTGCAAGTACATGTGGTGTCATAGTTAGTTGGATTAAACACAACATCAAATGTTCTAGTCCGATTTCCTTCACTTACTTTTGCAACTTCAAATCCATTTTCTTTCTTCAATTCATAAACACCACAAGAAAAACAAGCAATTTCAACCTCATATTGAAATTCATAAAAGACAGAGTTAGTATATAAATGTGAGGCATGATTTTCTATCCCTAGTGGTGTTTTGCACTCAGGATATTTGTGTTCTGAATAATTATCATTCTGACCTTGAGTGTGTCTTTAGGCATCAATTACAGCTTCATATCTCAAGTAAAACTCAATAAGTGACACATGAGGATTGATAAAGGAGCAGAAAAAGTTGTTTTCACTTTCGGATCTTGATGTTGTACGCATTATTCCTCCAAGGAACACATCTCTGAAATACGCCGGAATCCACTTGTCCCTTATCTTGTACATATAACCTAACCACTCATGTTCTTCCAAGTGGTATTCAACCATCACCTTGTTCCACCTTTCTTCAAACTTAGCGGGTTCAATTTTAAGATGCCAAATGCAAGCACATGATTTTTTTAGGAAACCAGTTTCTTCTTGCATGATTGATTTCTCCACCTAATCTGGTAACTTTTTCATTATGTGCCACATACAGAACTGATGTTTAGTCTTCTTAAACACACTTGTAACAACAATTTTCATTGTTGGATCCTGATCCGTGATCATACAATTAAGTTCATTCCCACCCATTTCCTTGAGAAATGATTTGAACAACCACTCAAATGACACAATATCTTCCTTTGCTATAAAACCAGCAGCAAAAGTAATGCAACTCTTATGATGGTCAACCCCTGTAAATGGAGTAAACACTATGTTGTACCTGTTTACACATACAGATTAAATTTTAAATGAGCAAATACTTCAATTCTCATTTGACAAATGAGCAAATAATTGAATGCTCATTTGTCAAATGAGCAAATAACTCAACGCTCATTTGTGAAATAAGAAAACAATTCTTTGCTCTTTTGTCAAATGAGCAAATAACTCAATGCTCATTTGTGAAATAAGCAAACAATTCTTTTCTCATTTGTCAAATGAACAAATAATTCAATGCTCATTTGTCAAATGAACATGCAATTCAATGCCCACATACATACACTTATCAAAGAATATTAGACTTATGGGGATATTCACTTTTCACATTGAAGTAAGCAAACAATTATACTAAATTCAATTAAAACAAAGTCATTAAGTTAAGCCATAGTTATAACATAGAAATGAATTATGATTATTATGAATTACCTATTGGTTTAGTATGTGGTATCAAAGGATACCATATCACCAAATAGAGCATAACTCTTTTTACAAAGGGGGTCTGCCCACAATGCTCTACAAAGGCAATAATCTTCATCCATCTCGAAATCAAAGAAAAAAGCGCTCTACATTAGCTTTTTGTTGGTAAAGTTATCCACGAACATTTGAGCATCGCTTCCTTGAATGTATGCTTTTTAATCTCTATGAAATTTTTTGAAATCCTGCTTAGATGCACCAATGTTATCATATCCTCCAACAATTTCCTTCATCATTCGAAAAGTTGTAACGGGACCAATATTCACCTATTTAAAGAACAAAACAGTTTGTCAAATGAGCAAATAATTCAATGCTCATTTTTAAAATGAGCAAACAATTCAATGCTCATTTAATTATTTGCTTGCTCATTGAGCAAACAATTTAATGCTCATTTTTCAAATGAGCAAACAATTTAATGCTCATTTTTCAAATGAGCAAATAATTATTTGCTCATTTGTCAAATAAGCAAATAATTATTTGCTCATTTGTCAAATAAGCAAACAACTTTTATTAGAACATATAGAGAATTCATGAAACATAAGAGCCTTTGAAAGTGTTACCTTAGAATTATTCACAAGTATTTTTTTGTGCAATATGTTCATTTTCCTTCCTTCTTTTTGGAAGAAATTGCAACTAGGTGTATAAAGTGCATGAGTATGTCCCTTATGAAATTGTGACACTATGAATTTGTTATCATCACAATGCTTTATGACAATATGTGCCTTGCACCCAACACGAGTAATGAGTCTCTTCCTTTAGATTGAAGCTTTTTCATCATTTCTTTCTCCTTCCTTGTTATTTAAATCTTTTTCAACAGTAGCCTTTCTTTTCTTTTTGTATCCTTCCTTATTGCATAAGATATAATGTGATTTCAATTCTTTGCTTCTTCTTTGTCTTTCAGTTGTAGACTTTCTTGTGTTGAATCCGGCAGCAAATGAGTAACTTTTATAAAATTCAAGGCCCTCTTCAAGATTATTAAACTTCATCCCTATAACTGGTTTCAACTCATTAGGGCATATTGGAAGCCATTCTTTTGTTTCTCCAGGAGTGAGCAAAGGTTCTACTTTAGAAGAAACTACTATTGTAGGAGTAGTTGGCACATTTGTGATGGTACTAGAATGACTCTCAAGTTATTCGTTTTTTACTCATCATATCTGTCATTATACATAATAGAAATAACAAGTCATTAACAATTCCACAAAATAGTAACAAGTGAATATGCACCCCCTTAAACACATTTACACACACACACTCTCAATAATTAGAACTGAAATCAGATTCTTAATAAGAATGTACACGGCCAGAAGCAAACACACACACTTACACATACACTCTTACATTCACACACACACACACACACACTCTTACACTCACTCATTCACACACACTTACACACACACACACACACAATAATTTCAGAATCTAAAATTAGAACTGAAATCAGTTTCTGAAATCAGAACTGCAAGCAAAAAGATGAGGGGGCAGGGGGGATAGGATTGTGTAGGGAAGTGGAAGAAGGGAGTGTGGTTGGTGTGCAGGAAAAAGACCAAGAAGAAGGGGGTGGGGCTTGTGCACAGGCAAGCAGACCAAGGAACTCAATGCTCATTTGTGAAATAAGCAAACAATTCTTTGATCTTTTGTCAAATGAGCAAATAATTGAATGTTCATTTGTCAAATAAGAAAATAACTCAATGCTCATTTGTGAAATGAGCAAATAAGTATTTAGGAAACACAACCCCAACAAAACAAACTATCCTAGCAACAGCAACAAGAACGCAACAATGATATTCAAATTTAAAATAAGAACACAACTTTGGAATTCGATAATACCACAACAACACAACTTTGGAATTCGATAATAATCAAAAGTAAATTCAAGACTAAACATGAACATGGAACACAACTTATTTTTCTCATTTGCTCATTTTTATATTTGCTCTTTTTTTTTTTTGTAATTGCTCATTTTAATTATGTTTGCTCATTATATTTTTTTTATATTATTACACATTTAGGTTTGCTCATTTTCAATTTATTTGCTCATTTTAAATTTGATTGCAAATAAGAACATAATAACATAGGAGCATAATAACATCATTCGGAAATAAGAACATAATAAGAACATTGTAAGAGTATTAAATTGGAAATTTCACAACATGAATATGAAAATCTTAACAAAAATTCAAAAATAACATGCGATTCAATGCAATAGAATCGGAAATTATCTGAACAATCGAAAATTCTCAATTACTAAAATCGAATATTATTTCTTAATTTTTGATGATAAGTTTAACCTGAGATCATTAGAATCACTATCAAGTTTTTCGTTGTATTCATGAAATTCAAAAATTTTCAATAATTGATAAAACCTTAATAATTGATGCAATTCGAAATTTTCAGAGCAGTAAAATCGAAATTGAAAAGTTGAACAAACCTTGATAAATATCGAGCCTTCAAATTCTTTAATCGAAGTTATTTGTACTTGTGAAGAAGAAGATGAAATCAAAATTGTCAAGCCTTCAAATTGATTAATCAGTCGCCATTGATAATTATGGAGCTTCGTTGTGCAGAGAGAATAAATGAGAAAGTTGAAGCAGTTAAGCGTGCAGTGGTTTTGTTAGGCAGCTTTGTATTTTAATCTTGGCCGTTGAATTTCATATAATCTAATGGCTGGTATTGGTTCTCACATAGATGAAGGTTCTCACATAAAGCTGGTTCTCACCGGATCCCAACCCTATATATATACTAGTTAAGACATTACATAAATTATAGTTTACCATAGGATTATAGTAACAGACCACTAAATATGGCTAGTCAATGCATAAAAGGTTGTTGTTTACAAGGACTTTGAATATCCAATTGCTATGTTCAAATTCCAAAGAAGAATAAGAGCGGAATTGCACCTGCATATATAGAGCAATTAAGATGTAATTAGTAGATAGTAATGAAGCTTTGTTTAAGCCAACAGATTTGAAAACAGTAAGCATTATACCTGTAATAAATTGCATTATGTTATTCCAGATAATCGCAACACATCATAGGCTACAATGTTTTTCGGAACTGGTGTTGTGTAATTTTCCAAAGGTCGGGGTGTGATTACAGTCACCTTTTTTTGACTTCTTTGCTCTTAACAATGCAACATACAATTGACCATGTGAAAAGCGTGGTTGCGGGAGATAGACCATGACTTGGCTTAATGTCTGCCCTTGAGATTTGTTATTGGTCATTGTAAAACTGAGTTTGAGAGGGAATTGTATTCGCTAAAACTGAATCGGGTATTTTGTTGATGATGGAGGCCGGAGGTTAACACGATGAATGAACACATGTTCACCTTGGCGATGGCCAGTGGCTATAGAACACACATTACATTCCTTTTAAAGTACTTGCATATGAGGCGTGCGCCATTGCACAGGCCATCTGCTGGAGCAATGTTTCTGAGCAAGATTACATGACTGTTTACTTTAAGAATAAGTTCATGTAGGGTCATTCCGCCTGGGGCGAGCTGGTTCAGGAAATCAGTTGGGTAAATTGCACAGTTATCATCTCGAATTGTGTCAAAGCTTTTGTATGCTTGACAAGCGCACATTAGGGCGCGCTTTAAGGCATATAAATGGGTGATTTTGGATGTATTTAGGCCCGTTTTGGTCGTTTATTGCCTTGTTACACTCGTTTCCTTCATATTACGTGCTTCACGGGTTTCGGTCTGTTTTTGGTGTGTTAACAGGTATAGTTGACCAAGTTATGTCGAGTCCCAAACCATTGGTGCGTAATCAGGCTATTATCGATCCTAGTCCACCAAGCTAAGACTTTGCTGCGGTTCTCAAGGCTTTGAAAGGCAAGTTAAGTAGCAGGCAAGGCAGAACAGTTCACAAATATGACACCTGTTCACTATTTTGCTCATAACTTTCGGTATACAAATGATATTGGAGTGATTCCAATTGCATTGGAAAGTAGACTTGAAGAGCTTTCCAACTATATATTTCACGCCTCAAAGGAGCTCTATATAAGAAGTTGTGACTATTTTAAGAAGACCAAAGTGCCTGCAACCTTCCTGCCTATGCTTGCACGGCCGTGCCAGGCATTAGCACGGCCGTGCCAGGCATTAGCACGGCCGTGTCAGGCATCAGCACGGCCGTGCCAAATTCAGCACGGCCGTGCCAAAATTGAATATATTGCGGATCAGCTACTGCCATGCTTGCACGACCGTGCCACTTCTAGCACGGCCGTGCTGATTTACGAAGGGCAGCCTGCGCAATTGCTTTCTAAATTAAAACATATATATATATATATATATATATAACCCTATGGTGAGGGTTAAGCGGAGAGATTTAGAGACAGATTTAGAGATAGTTTTTGAGAGCTTTTGTAGAGAGTTATTGGAGAACGTTCTTAGTATTAGAGATTCTTTAGTTTTCTTAAAGATTATTCTATCGATTTTAGTTTCTTGGATTGATTTGAAGCAAGATTTGTGAAGATTCTTTGTATTATCCATTGACGACGAATATCAAAGTTCTAAACTTTTCCATTGATTCGCATCAATACAATTGGTATTATTCATTCTTGTTTATTAATCAAGCTTTATTATTCCTTAATCAGAATTCATGTTTATATCTATTATGCTTTTGGAATTCATTATTGCTTTGATTATGAATATGTTTGAGTAGTCTCCTAGCCAGGGTTTCGGGATGAAACCCGGCCTAGGTAATCTATGCAATTGAGGATTGATTTTGATAAACGGATTGTGATTAAATTGATTATATGCGATTGCATGTTAATTCATTATAATAGGAGTAGCTAACCTAGAATCTTGAATTTGATTGCATGATATTCTTGGTTTGAACAAGAGATTGTGAATTGAGTATTTCATTATTGAATGTGGTTTGATTATGTATCGAGTAATGTTAAGTGCATGAGAAATCCAAGCTTGGTATTGCCCGTTGTCTTCCTATCACACGATATTGATCAGACATATAGTCTTTGCTTATCCCGTTTGTCTCTATGATTCCTTGTTGCGTAGTTACCGATGGTTTGGTGAATTCCCGTTCTCCCTAGTGTCTTAGTTTATTGATTTATTCCATCTTATTAGTAGTATTTTAGAACACCATTTTCCATTGATTTCGAACTAGCTTAGGTTTAAGATTGATTTGCAATTACTCTCGTTCCTCGTGGACCGAACCTTTATTTGCCATTGTACTTGGTTATAGGGTGTTCGTATAAGTATTGTTTGATTGAGAGTTAGATTGTAGCGACCGATTTAACCCTCGTCAAAATGGCGCCGTTGCCGGGGAGCGGTGTTTGTTAATTGCTTTTTGATTTCTTGAGTCTAGTTCATCATAAAAAAAAAGCACAAAAAGATTTTTCCCTTTTGGCTACACTTGTAGCCCTGCTATTTAATTGGTTTGGTTAGTGTGTATGCGCAGGTCTAAACAGAGAGAATTAATACCCTTCAATCTAGAAATCGAAAGAACTTTGAAGAGCAATCGTAAATCTCGATTGACGTCATCAAACTCTCAAGGAAAGGAACACAACACACAACAGGTTCCAATGACAGACATACCGCGCCAACCTAATCGGCCAGCACCACGACCCCTTAAGGAGTTGGGAACTCCTGGGGCGTATAGAGCTTCAAGTGGGATTGCTCCACCCACTACTGAAGCTAATGACTTCGAGATCCGGCCGGCCATGATCACCCTCATCGAGCGAAGGCAGTTTAGTGGTGCCAAGCATGAGAGCCCTTTGGCTCATCTGAATGAATTTGAGAAGTACTGCAACACTATCAAAGTCAATGGGGTGAACCAAGAGTTTGTGAGATTAAAGCTTTTCCCATTTTCACTCATCGGGAGAGCCCTCAAATGGTTAGAGAAGGAGGTAAAACCAAATACTCTACACACTTGGGATGATGTCACGACAACATTTTTGGGAAGATTCTATTCTCAAGAAGACGACCGATGCTAGAGCCTTGATTCAAGGGTTTCGGCAAAGGAGTGGGGAGTCGATCTATGAAGCATGGGAAAGGTAAAAGGAGTACCAGAGAGAGTGTCCGCATCACGGAATTCCAACATACCAGGTGCTACAGATTTTCTATGGAGGATTAAGTCCTCAAGGGAAAACCAGTTTTGATGCGGGAGCAGGTGGCCCAATAATGAACAAAACTGAAGAGCAGGTCATAGATATTATCGAAGATGTGGTACGACACCACATGGATTGGCAAGACGGCGAGCGAGATGCTGTGAACAAGAGTGGAGGAGCGGTCTATTTAGTGGACCACCGCAATGCCATTAGCAACCTGACATCACAAATTACGAACCTCGGGAAGGAGATGTCAGCGATTAAAGCCAAGCTCGATTCCGTACCATTGCAAGATCTTCCCTCCCAATCTAAGGGGAGAGGTATGAATCCTAATCCTTCCATTTCCAATATGCCTGTAGGATGTATTTTCTGTGAAAACTGTGGGTCTTATGATCATGATACCTCTGCCTGTAATTTTGATCCCTCATATGATCCTAATAATAATGATGGTAATAGATATAATAATGAACAGGTCAATGCTATGTCTTATGATAACGGACCTAGGAATGATAATAATAGATATCTGCCACCTAATCAAAGAGGGAACAATTATAATCAGGGAGGTAATGATTTTGATTATCAAAACCAGTGGGGAAATAGGGGCCAAAGGGACCAAAATCCCCAAGGACCCTATAATCAACATGGTGGTTTTGGAAATCAAAACCAATACCAACAGGGTAATCAAATGAATCATAATTCCCAAGGGCAATTCAATCAAGGGGGAAACGACATTAATAACAGGGGAAACTGGAATAATAATAAGGGGTACTCTAATCAAAATCCCCAACAATCTAATGTGCGTGGTTCCCGAGCTACAAATGATAATTATTATGCTCAAGGACCACCACAGAGATCTAGCTTGGAGGAAATGATGGAGTCCCAGGCCAAAATGTTCAACACTTTTATGTCCACCACTGATAAAAAGTTTAGTGAAGTGATGACACATAATAAGATGCTTGAAACCCAGATTTCTCAGTTGGCTAGTGCTATAAAAGATGGGGTTGGAGTTTCAAAACTACAGCCTCAAGGTATTGACCCTAAAAATTCTGTGAATGCTATCACCACTAGGAGTGGAAAGACTTTGATAGGGAGCGATAATGTAATACCACCAAAGAGTCAACCTGTGACTCCACCTATCACTGATAATGTTGTAGAAAGTGAGGATGAGAGGACCAGAGAAAAAGATAAAATTATTGAGGTCCCAAAGGAACAGGTGGGAGCACAGACCAATGAACCCGACCTATTACATTGACTCCCCTACCCCCAAAAACATGTGAGACATAAGCTAGATGCCCAATTCGGGAAGTTTTTGGAGACTTTGAGAGAAGTCCACCTTTCTATACCATTCACTAATGCTATTAAGCAAATGCCTAACTATGCTAGGTTTTTAAAAGATATATTGAGTGGTAGAAGAAACTGTGAAGGGGTAGAAACTGTTAACCTCACTGAACACTGTAGTGCTATAATAATGAATAAAATGCCTCCTAAGTTAGGAGATCCGGGTAGCTTTTCAATCCCTTGTGCTATAAACAAAATGAATATTGATAATGCTTTGTGTGATCTTGGAGCTAGTGTTAGTCTCATGCCATATTCTGTTTATCAACGATTAAATATAGGAGAACTTCTTCCCACTAACATATCCCTTCAATTAGCCGATCGATCGATCAAATTTCCAAAGGGTAAAGTTGAAGATGTTCCCCTAAGGGTGGGGAAGTTTGTGATACCTGTTGACTTTGTGGTCCTAGATATGGATGAGGATGTTCATATACCTATAATTCTAGGACGTCCTTTCCTAGCTACTTCGGGGGCCCTTATTGATGTAAAGGGTGCCACGATTTCATTGAAAGTAGGAAAGGAGGTTTTAGATTTTGATTTAAATAAAACTATGAAATATCCTTGTTCTAATTCTGATAATTGCATGATGGTTGACACTGTTGATTCCATTGTCTCTGATATGCGTAACGAATTATTCTATACTAATCATGATTTTGAATTGAATGAGAACAAGGAAAACAGGGACATGGAGGAGCAATTTCTAGATGCATTAGATGTGGCCACTGCAAAGGAGGCTAATGAAGCACCAAAGGTTAAGCTTAAACCCCTTCCAACACATCAAGGAAGGGTTTCCCCTGTGTTTGTAGTACCTAAGAAAGGGGCGGTGACTATTGTCAAGAATAAGAATGGTGAGCTTATCTCCACTGCAATGGCAAGTATTGATTATGGGTAACCTGTAATCCATGTGTTGCGTCAAGCTAATGACGTTAAAGAAGCGCTTCCGGGAGGCAACCCGAGACCCAGTCAATGAGGTACTTTTCTCTTTCCCTTTTTGCCTTCTAGGTAGTCTCTCGATGCCTGACATTGAGGACAATGTCTATACTAGCTTGGGGGGGTGAATGTTTTGCTTGTTGATTTTCCCTTGTTTTTCTTCATATTCCTATAAAAAATAAAAAAAAAACGAGTTTCTTTTGGTTTCGTTTTGGTTTGTTTCTATCTAACCTTTGCAGATATGAAGACTCATGGAGGTAGCATTAGGAGCTTCGCCGCATCTCATGTTGTCTTAGTGTGTTTTCAAGAAGCATTTGGTGAAATCTTTCCCTTTTTCCTTTAGTTTTTTGTTTTTGTGTGCTTAGGATAGTTTAGTTTAGGAAGAAGTTGAATGGTTCGAGGATGTTTGATCGGTTCTAAAGAACCTGGGATCATTGATGTTGATATCAATTATCACTTGTTTGTCGATTGGGATTATTATGTGATTTTCATGCCTCTTTATGAGCCATTTAGCTTGTTTAGATTACTTAGTTGTTTATATATGTGTGCAATATAGGAAAAGCTTCTGTTATGAGAATGTGTAGTCTAGTTTATATGATTTGCCTCATAGTCTTTTCCTATATTTTTGGATCGTGATAAACTTGTCTAATTGCATAAACTTTTGGAATAATGCTCATATTTGGATTCGAAACGTGAATGAATGTGTGTGGAATATCTATTTCTACTTAAGCCAGTGATGAATACACAGTTTGAGTCTATTGTTGATCAATGTAGACGAGTCTAGGCGAAGGTAGTTGGTTAGAACACTTTTGTCATGTGAAACTCTATGCCTTTGGGCTGTGGTAAGATGGAGTCGCTTCCCATTTGTGGATTTGATCCCCTTAATTGGTAGTTGCTTTGTTTTTTGAATCCCGTGAGGTTTTATTGTTCTAGCCTTCATCATTCTTCTTGAGTGGCATATTTGGATCCTTGATTACGCATGTTTCGATCTTTGTGTTGACTTGTAGCTCCCAAGACCGACTTGACACTTTTAAGGGAGGAAGAGGGCACCTTTTTCATTTTTCTTATTTTGTTCCTTTTGTTTTGTTACAAATTGATTTTCTTTTTACATCATCTTACTTGCTAACCATGTTGAGCTTTAATTCCATTCTTGGTTAACCGTGTTACAAACCCGATGGCCAATGTTTTACCAACCCTTAGTTGTGAAGCGTTTACCTAGATAGGTTTGTTGAGATTATTGTTTACTAATCAAGAAATAAAGTTTGATAGTTGGTTTGAGCAGGTGTGAAAGTGAGCCTAATTGTAAATATGTAATGTGAAAGTCATTTTGCCATCAATAAAAAAAGAGAGAAAAAAAAATATAGGAAAAGACTATGAGGCAAATCATATAAACTAGACTACACATTCTCATAACAGAAGCTTTTCCTATATTTTTTTTTCTCTCTTTTTTTATTGATGGCAAAATGACTTTCACATTACATATTTACAATTAGGCTCACTTTCACACCTGCTCAAACCAACTATCAAACTTTATTTCTTGATTAGTAAACAATAAGCTCAACAAACCTATCTAGGCAAGAATTTAAAAAGAAAAAAAAAGAAGAAGAGAAAAAAAAGAGAAAAAAGAATTTAAAAAGAAAAAAAAAGAAGAAGAGAAAAGCCGTCCGAATTGTGAAAAAGGCAAGGACACATAAATAAAGTTTTGAAGTTTGAAAGAGGTCATTTGAGTGTGTATTATATGGATAATTTGGGATGTGTAAGAATGTGAATCAATGAGATTGTGGAAAGTGAATTACATCTTTTGAACTATTGTTTTTGAGAATTGTGATTCTTGCGCTTCATTTAGGAATTAACCCCACTTTTTAAATTGTTTTCACCTACCTTACCCATTGCCAATACATTACAACCCTTTAAGACCCTTAGACTTTAGAGGTGTTCGGTTCTCAAACGGTGGAGGGAGATACCTTTCAACCCTATGGAAAGATTATGCGTAATCGAGATGTCGGGATACCTTTGTTATTTCCTCAAAATATCACTTTTTCTGGTTCCTTCGAGGGATCATGAGGGGCCAATTAGGGTGGTGATTTGAAGCAAAAGGGGAGGACGTGGCCGGTTTGGTTAGGTTTAGAGGGAAGCATGACTTATTTGTTCTCTATGCTTGGTTTAGGTTTTGTTTGCATTTTTGATCAACGATACCTTGGATTGTGTGTCTCGTTGCTTGTTTGAGTGATTTTTCATTCCGTGCATGGTTGTTCTAAGTAGGATCCATTGACTTCATTCCATGCTAAATTGGATTTATATGTAATGGCAATAGTTTATTTGATCCTGTGTGTGTGTGTATCCCTTAGTTTTGCTCGAGGACTAGCAAAAGTGTAGCTTGGGGGATTTTGACAAGCGCACATTAGGGCGCGCTTTAAGGCATATAAATGGGTGATTTTGGATGTATTTAGGCCCGTTTTGGTCGTTTATTGCCTTGTTACACTCGTTTCCTTCATATTACGTGCTTCACGGGTTTCGGTCTGTTTTTGGTGTGTTAACAGGTATAGTTGACCAAGTTATGTCGAGTCCCGAACCATTGGTGCGTAATCAGGCTATTATTGATCCTAGTCCACCAAGCTAAGACTTTGCTGCGGTTCTCAAGGCTTTGAAAGGCAAGTTAAGTAGCAGGCAAGGCAGAACAGTTCACAAATATGACACCTGTTTACTATTTTGCTCATAACTTTCGGTATACAAATGATATTGGAGTGATTCCAATTGCATTGGAAATTAGACTTGAAGAGCTTTCCAACGATATATTGCACGCCTCAAAGGAGATCTAGATAAGAAGTTGTGACTATTTTAAGAAGACCAAAGTGCCTGCAACCTTCCTGCCTATGCTTGCACGGCCGTGCCAAATTCAGCACGGCCGTGCCATTCTCCAGATTCAGCACGACCGTGTTAGGCATCAGCACGGCCGTGTCAGGCATCAGCACGGCCGTGCCAAATTCAGCACGGCCGTGCCAAAATTGAATATATTGCGGATCAGCTACTGCCATGCTTGCACGACCGTGCCACTTCTAGCACGGTCGTGCTGATTTACGAAGGGCAGCCTGCGCAATTGCTTTCTAAATTAAAACATATATATATATATAACCCTATGGTGAGGGTTAAGCGGAGAGATTTAGAGACAGATTTAGAGATAGTTTTTGAGAGCTTTTGTAGAGAGTTATTGGAGAACGTTCTTAGTATTAGAGATTCTTTAGTTTTCTTAAAGATTATTCTATCGATTTTAGTTTCTTGGATTGATTTGAAGCAAGATTTGTGAAGATTCTTTGTATTATCCATTGACGATGAATATCAAAGTTCTAAACTTTTCCATTGATTCGCATCAATACAATTGGTATTATTCATTCTTGTTTATTAATCAAGCTTTATTATTCCTTAATCAGAATTCATGTTTATATCTATTATGCTTTTGGAATTCATTATTGCTTTGATTATGAATATGTTTGAGTAGTCTCCTAGCCAGGGTTTCGGGATGAAACCCGGCGTAGGTAATCTATGTAATTGAGGATTGATTTTGATAAACGGATTGTGTTTAAATTGATTATATGCGATTGCATGTTAATTCATTATAATAGGAGTAGCTAACCTAGAATCTTGAATTTGATTGCATGATATTCTTGGTTTGAACAAGAGATTGTGAATTGAGTATTTCATTATTGAATGTGGTTTGATTATGTATCGAGTAATGTTAAGTGCATGAGAAATCCAAGCTTGGTATTGCCCGTTGTCTTCCTATCACACGATATTGATCAGACATATAGTCTTTGCTTATCCCGTTTGTCTCTATGATTCCTTGTTGCGTAGTTACCGATGGTTTGGTGAATTCCCGTTCTCCCTAGTGTCTTAGTTTATTGATTTATTCCATCTTATTAGTAGTATTTTAGAACACCATTTTCCATTGATTTCGAACTAGCTTAGGTTTAAGATTGATTTGCAATTACTCTCGTTCCTCGTGGACCGAACCTTTATTTGCCATTGTACTTGGTTATAGGGTGTTCGTATAAGTATTGTTTGATTGAGAGTTAGATTGTAGCGACCGATTTAACCCTCGTCAATGCTTGGAAATTTATAATAATAAAAGTGTTGATAGAGTCTACCACATCATTCAATGGTGTGAGGATGGCTCTCTCTGTGAAAATATCTGGTGAAAAGTCTACATGTTCCAATTCACGGAATGCAGTAACAGCCAGATGATCGATAGGTTCGTCGGCTTGTTGATAATAACTCACAACGTGACAAGGAAATTGGACAAAAGCATTTTCAGAGGACTGCAGCTCACCATTTCCCAAACTCAGTAGAAATGATGCATATGGGAGATCTTCTTTTGCTCTAATGTTTTCAGTAAGGTGTAGCTTTTCTAACCAAGGCCAAATATACGAACTAACTAGGCTTGTTTCAAATGATTTCGTTTGAGTTTTTTGGGGAATGACTGGCGAAACTTGTATGAAATCTCCTCCAAGTACTATAAATTTCCCACCGAATGGCTGATCTAGATCACAAAGATCACTGAGTAAGAGATTCACTGATTCAATGTTTTCCTTTCGTGCCATTGAAGCTTCATCCCAAATAATTAGAGCTATTTCTTTAATTAAAGCAGCTAAGCTGCCTTGTTTAGGCACGTCACAAGCAAGAGATGCTTCTGAATCAAGAGGGATCTTAAATCGTGAGTGTGCTGTCCTCCCAGAAGGTATGTTTACTGCAACTATGCCTGATGTTGCTGTTGGAAGCATAGTTTTCCCTGCCAAGCGCACTTTTGCATATAGAGCATTATACAAAAATGTTTTCCTGGTCCCTATAGGACCATCAACAAAGAAATAGCTACGCTTCTCTGCTTGTAGATGAGAAATAATTCTATCAAAGGCAATTTGTTGAGCTGAATTGATCGAGCTTTTCCCTACAGTCAATACATTCTTGGGATATAGGTGCATCTAAGGCATCAATGATGTCTTTTGTTCTGTTTAGTTCTGATGGTACCTCTTCATGTAGGAGTTTAAGCTAGAAATGTGCCAACGATTTGCCCATAAACTCTAAGTGGCGCTCAACTGACTGTATAGTGAGCAACCTAACTTGTCCTTCATTTTGTGAAAAGGTATGCCTATAGTAATCAGATAAATCGTTGTAGAACTGCAGCCAAAGTGTATTTGGGTTGCTAGGTGTGCAGAAAATCAACACAGCTGCAAATAGGCGGCTTAAGGCTGATGACATGTGAATTTCTACTACTTCAGCCAAGCATGCATAAACTGCATTGTCTTCATCAAAGAGCCCCCTTTTGATAGCTGCTTCTTGAAAAGTGGCACAAAGCACACCGTTCAAAGTCCTAAAAGGAATGGTGTCCTTCTAACAAATGTATTATACTGATAGAGGGTTCAGAATTATTAGAAAGCTAATTCTTCAGTAAGGTCAAGTGATCGGAATGCCTAGGTGGAGGTCGCTTCCGATCAGTAATATTAATGTATAATTAATATTACAACTTAATCTTGACTGAACCCTTCGGGTCGCACCGCAATCAAATAACCGATCCAAAAAGACGAATCAATCTAAAGGATTAGATGAGTCATCAGAGTATTACGAACAAAGACGTCGGATATCGAGCTTAGAGCGTCGAAACCGAGCGTCGTAAGTCGAGTCGAATTTAGAATTCGACGAGACGTAGAATCAAGAAAGCGACAAGTACGAGCCAAACCGTAGCCTCGCATTGGCCTAGCCTTGCGAGTGCTAAGCTAGGCGAGGGCACCAACCGCATGCATGCTAGCTGTTAGGTTTTCAAGTAATTCAAGAACAAGAACTACTTTAACAATTGTGGGAACAAAACCTAACTATGTATAATTAATAATGAATTATACAATAATCCAAATACAATTCAATGTATTACAACCAAACAACAATTTATCAAAGTATTACAGAAAAACACAATGAAAACACTAGTAGTGAAAGATAATATACTTGCCTCTACTCCAAGCCTTAACAACCAACATGAACATGAGAAAACCGGTGACCACTTGAGTCTAATTCCTTGATACACTGTCTTAGGCGTGTAAACACTTTCCTAAAGAGTTTAATTTCCCCCACAATGGTGCTTGGGTTTAATCCGAAAATACTCTTTGAGATACAAAAGACAAGCCAACGTTCTTTGCACTTAAGAATCGAAGAAAAGATGATCAATTCACAAATAGGATTAATTGAAAGAGATTTCTCACAAAAGTTTGCAAGATGTTTGTGAGGAATTGTGAAGAATACTTAGGGAGAGAAGAAGAATAATATTTCTATCTTTTTTCGAATATGAAAACAAGCCTTTTAATAAAGACTTAACCGTCAGAATTTCACGAAAAACAGACTGGCGCGGGCGCTTCACCAGGAGGCGCGGGCGCGCCTCAAAGTGGAGCGGCGCGCCTCTTCTGAACATGCGAATTCACAAAGGAAGGCAGAGTGGTACGCGGTTTAGGCGCGACCACAGGCGCGGACGCGCCATCTATGACGCGCGGGCGCGCCATCTATGACGCGCGGGCGCGCCATCTATGACGCGCGGGCGCGCCATCTATGACGCGCGGACGCGCCACCAGACGCACGGCCGCACCAACTGCACCCTTCCAAATATCCAAATTCCAGTGAGGTCCACGGTTTAAGCGCGACCTCAGCGCGGCCGCGCGTACCTAGCGCGGGCGCTACTCATGGTTCGCGAGCGCGCAACCATCAACACTCTAAATATTCTAACAATCCTCCCCCATTTAGAGTGTTACTTAAAAACATTCTCCACTTCTTACAATTAAACCACATCTCATGCATCAATGTCAATGTCCTTTCGGATTGAATTGACACCTAGTACAACACAATAAACGATGATCATACCATGATTTCCATATGGATTGAATCACACGGATATATCCAACCATTCGAAGGTGAAGTACACACAAGACAAATCGAATTAATCATCACTTGACACTTTTATACAGCCATGTGTCCTTATCTTTCATAAGTTCATCAAAGTCTATATGTCCATCTAGACTTCTTGAAGCGGCTAAACTCCGAACTTACATAGGTAGGTTCTCATATACGTAAATGTGCCCTTATGACAAGACACTTACATTTAGAGCTTCTCAACTCTAAACCTTTAAGAACTTTTAATTGACGCTACCTAATACATCACAAGTACCATAGCAATATTGGTCATCAAATATTGCTAACAAACATCAAAAATGCGATTCAACCACATTGAATCTAAGACTTGATGTTTCTTTAAGCGTTAGATTGGGTTTCACAAATTTGTGTTTTTGGACATAAACCCATTCCATTCATAGCAAATATGATGGAATGTCTTGGCATTGCCTTTGTAAAGCAATCCGCCAAATTCAACTTTGTTGGAACATAGTCAAGAATTATGACCCCATCATGGATAAGCTCTTTCACTAGGCTATGCCTTAGTGAAATACGCCGAGACTTACCATTATACACTTGAATATAAGCCTTTATCAACGCCGAATTGGAATCACAATGGATTGCCACCGGTGGCATTGACTTTGGCAATAAAGGCAACTCTATCATGAGATTCCTCAACCACTCAGCCTCTTTACTAGCTGAAGCAAGAGCTATAAACTCCGCTGCCATAGTGGAATCAGCGATGCAAGTTTGTTTCTTGGAAGACCATGATATGGCACCTCCCCCAAACATGAATACCCAACCACTTACAGAAGAGTCATCCTTCTAAAACTAAAGGAAATCCACTATAAGATAGACCATAGTCTAACGTACCCTTAAGGTACCTCAAGACCCTCCTTATTGCAAACCAATACTTTGCACCCGGGTTACTAGTAAATCTACTAAGTTTTCCCACAGCCAATGCAATATCCGGTCTTGTACTAGTCATGGCATACATCAAGGATCCAATTATCCTTGAATATTCCAATTGGTAAATCGTTTTCCCCGAATTCTTAACCAATTTTACATTGGGTTCCATGGGGGTGTTCACGGGACACTTATCAAACATATTAAACCGTTTGATCATTTTCTCAACATAGTGAGATTGACTTAAAATAAGTCTTTCATTGTCCCTAATTATCTTGATGCCCAAAATGACATCCCCCTCCCCCAAATCCTTCATCTGAAAAGATGAGGATAAGAATTCCTTGTTCAATTCTACTTGTTGTAGACTTGTACCAAAGATAAGCATATCATCAACATATAGACAAATGATGACACCATGACCTTTGTCATCAAATTTGCTATATATACACTTATCAGCTTGATTCACCTTGAATCCAAAGGACATAATCGTGTCATCAAATTTCCGATGCCACTGCTTTGGTGCTTGTTTAAGTCCATACAAGGACTTAACCAATTTACACCTTATCTTCTTGTCCTTCCAAAACAAACCCTTTGGGTTGTGTCATATACACTTCTTCCTCTAGATCTCCATAAAGGAATGTCGTTTTGACATCCATTTGGTGAATCTCTAGATTGTATACCGAAGCCATTGCAATTAGCAACCTTATCGAGGTTATTCTTGCAACCGGTGCATAGTTGTCAAAATAATCAACACCATGCTTTTGCCTAAAGCCTTGGATTACCAATCTGGCTTTAAATTTCACTATGGATCCATCCGATCTCCTTTTCCTAGTGAAAATCCACTTGCAACCAAGAGGTTTGCAACCGGAAGGTAAATCCTCTAAGACCCAAGTGTTATTTCCCATGATGGAATCCATTTCATCATTTATAGCCTCTTTCCGAAATTCACTATCTTGGGAAGATATTGCTTCACTATAAGTCTTTGGGTCACTATCCACATTGAAGCAATATGGAGTAGTGGAACTAAGGACATCCCTAGATCCTTCAACCAAATAAATTATGAAGTCATCTAGAGGATTCCTAATTTTCCTTTCCCTAGTACTTCTCCTCACTTGAGGAGTTTCAACATTCTCATTATCGAATGTACTTTCATGAGTTTCAAGTTGATCATTCAACTCTACTATCTCCCTATCATTGGCACTAATTTGTAGATCTTTAGGTCTACACATTGATGAAAATCTATTTTCATCAAAAATTGCATCTCTTGACTCTATAACCGAATGAACGGTTATATAGTCATTTTGTTCTATTACATAGAACCTATAGGTTTTGCTATGCTCATCATAACCTATAAATATGCAATCCAAGCCCCTTTCACCAAGCTTTCTTTTCTTGTTGCTGGGCACTCTTACGATTGCCCTACAACCCCAAACCTTGAGATACTTCAAGTTTGGCTTTCTTTTGTACCATAGTTCATAAGGAGTAGGTTCTTTTCCCTTTGTGGGAACCCGGTTAAGAATGTGACATGCTGTCAACATTGCTTCACCCCAGAACCCTTCACTCAAACCAGAGTAAGATAACATGGAATTAACCATCTCTTCAAGGGTTCTATTTTTCCTTTCAGCTACACCATTTGATTGTGGTGCATAACCAGCTGTAATCTCATGAATTATACCCAAAGATTGGAAATAAATTGGATCATAGTATTCCCCTCCCTTATCAGTTCTAATTTTCTTAATAAATGAATCTACTTGTAATTCTACTTCTCTTTTATAAATATCAAACTTGGTTAAAGCTTCATCTTTGGAATGCAAAAGATACACGTAACAAAACCTAGAATAATCATCTATAAAAGTAACCATGTATCTTTTGTTTCCCAAAGAAGACGTACTTTGAAAATCACACAAGTCACTATGGATTAGTTCTAAAATGTTAGAACTTCTCTCAACTCTCTTAAATGGAGTTCTAGTGATCTTGTTCAACATGCAAGTAGAACACTTATTAGGAGAAATATCACAACAAGGAATCAATTCTTGTTTGGACATGAAAAGAATTTTAGTATAATTAACATGTTTTAATCTTGAATGCCACAAGTCAAACAAATTTAAATCAATATGATTATCACTTGCATCAACATTTAAACAAACAT